GATATTGGTTAATAAAAACGTGTTCGCTTTAAGGGGGCTACGTGTTGTGAAAATGGTGGTAGCTGTCCTTCGGTATGTTTACGATATTTGTAACTTTTAATATCGTTATCTTTAACGTTATAACGTGTGCTTTATGTCGTTATCTAGGGTTCCACTTGTTGTTCCAAAGATTGCGCTCCTGCGGTAATACGCTTATTCATAAATTTTATAAATGTGATATTGGTTAATAAAAACGTGTTCGCTTTAAGGGGGCTACGTGTTGTGAAAATGGTGGTAGCTGTCCTTCGGTATGCTTACGATATTTGTAACTTTTAATATTGTTATCTTTAACGTTATAACGTGTGTTCAATGTCGTTGGTCTAGGATCACATTTGTTGTGCCAAAGGTTGCGCTCCTGCGGTAATATGCTTGTTTGTAAATTTTATAAATATGATATTGGTTAATAAAAACGTGTTCGCTTTAAGGGGTCTACGTGCTGTGAAGACGGTATCCACTACGCTCGTGCGGTAATACGCTTAATTTTTCTTATTTTCTAACAACGTTGATTAATACTCTATAAACTTTTGCGACATTGGTTAATAAAACATCTTCGATTTATGATCTTTTAAGGGATATAAGTGTTGTGAAGACGGCAGCACCGCCCCTGAGGTAATACTTTTAATTTTTCTTACTTTATAATACGACATTTTTAAATGTTAAATATCAACAACATTGCTAACAATATGTTTAATGCACTAAGGGAGCAACGTGTTGCGGTGATGGCGCTTACTGTCCTTCGGTAACCTTACAATATGACATTTTCACTTTTAGCTATCAATATTTATTTACGATATGTCCTTTTCTTCATGTATTCAGAGTACTCCTGTTTGCTGCGGCGATGATAGATGCGCTTCTCTGGTAATACGCTTCATTTATCCCACTTCATGACGCAATATTATTAATGGTTAATTACTAATAATACGTCTTATTTTTATGCGCTTAGAATAATGTTGATAGTAATAATAAATGCTGTCCTTCGGTAATTCGGATCATTTACTATGAACTATTAATGGCAACTCGCGAGCGAACGATAATGAAGATTTTACTTGGTGGCAAGAGCTTCATTGAATTAGACTTCTTATCCTTACTCTCATACTGAAACAAGAATTTTCTCTATGTTTATACGCAAAATGGCTTACTAACAATATATTCCATTCTTAATGCTTTAAAGAACAAACCCATGGTTGTACAAGGCACATGCTGCGCTAAGGTAATACTTTTCATTTTAACATTGTATTATTTTAATATCCGGGCACATGTATTATGTCAAAAAGCTCCTCCTTCTATTACTGAGTCAGGCGTATATGCGATACGCTAGTAAAAAATATTACCTATTAAAGAATTTGGCGTGATATCACCCGGAGAGTATAATAAGCAATTCCCTACAATGATATCTTTGTCATTACTAACATTTTCTAATTTAGAATTCCATTACGACTAAACAAACTTGTTGTCCTGATGTAATGAGTTTCATTTTCTCCAATTCTTTGATTCAATGTTGTTAACACGATTGATATCATCAATATTATTTAACGATATTGCTTTATTTTAATGCATTTAGGATAAACCTATTGCCATAAAGGACCAATGCTGTGCGGCGGTAATAAATTTCATTTCCCCACTTTATGATAGATATTGGTAATTGAGTATAAATTGCAATGAAATATTATTACTAAGTTGCCTATCCTATTTTTGATGCATTCAGATTGGTCACTGCAATAATGTAATTCATTCTCTGCACTTTGAAATGTGTTATCTCAACTTAATATCATAAGTGTACTAACAAGCTGTTTTATTTTAATATGTTAAGGTTGCAGCACTCAGGTAATAACATTTCACTTTCTTATGCGATATGATATTAATATATCCTTATTACTAATTAAGAGTTCGATTCTAGGGCGAATCCAGTAACAATGATGGCATATGCTGCCCCGTGGTAATATACTAATTTCCTAATTCTGTGATCTGGTATTACTAATTATTAACAATGAATGCTAACAACTTATTTGATTTTGATGCATTAGGCTGATTTTCTTTACTTTAGAATATTATTATACGCGTCAGAGCGAAAATTATGCTACTATTTAGCGTTTCCCAAATCACGTAGGCTTATAATAGATACTTTGCGCTAAAATATCCTTTTTTACTGCACCCCATTTAAACTAAAATATTATAATCAAAATTATAAACTCTTTCTATGACGATAATGCAAATTATTTTAAGATGTTTATAAAGTTTATATATATGTTTTGCAAATTTTAGATTGAAAAAAAGAAGGATAGGTTATTTTGTTTATTTTTAGCGAAATAAGATAGTCTTTTTAGTATTGCAAGTTTGATTTCTTGTGGAACTTTAATAAAGTTTGTATAGAAATTGGTAAATGAATTACTTAAGATTTTATAATCGATTGATGTCTTTTTTGGTGATGTGGCGTTGGTGTTATTAGTGTGTTAATGTTAGGATGCGCGTTTTGTGACTCGTAAATAAAATACTTGAGCTTCAAATGTTTTTAAACTTTGCAATGAATCTAATGATTTGAGGAGAAAAATGATGCGGTATATACAAAAATTCCATTTTTCGAGTGTTATAAAAGCCTGTTGTATGAATTTTATATAATACACAAGTCTAATGGGGATGCATTGTACTTTATTCGTTGCAATAGCAAAACATGTCTATCAGAAATCCTCCAATGATTCGAGGCCTGTATTATGGTGGTGTAATTTCCATGCGTGTTATACTTATTCGTATTAATAGCAAAAACCAATCATGGGTAAATTTTATATTCATTCATTTAACAACTATTTCTGTTGGTAGCGATGACAGACAAAGACATAAACATATACCCAAATTTGTCTTTAATATAACCAATGACTTTCAAAATTGAAACAGGTAGATTTCAGTATCAATTCTATGAGCCATGCACCTAACTTTATATTAATAGCTAAATTATCATATTTGCAAGGACAAATTCCTAATCAACAACAATTTACAATCTTGTAAGAACTTGTTGGTAGACCGTGGAACTCCATCTGGAAAAAAAATTTACTAATGCTACGAAAAAGATTGTTAACGAATAAATAGATGACATTTTACATTATTTATAAATTGTTGGCAAGAGACATGTGCCACCCCAGCGGGAATCGTCCCGTAAACTTAACGAGTGGGTGTTGTCCAACCCATGGTATGGGGCATAGGGTAACGATCACTGGCTTTCCGTCTTACATTCTAACTCGTCCATGCTATAGTGTGTTGGACGACAAAGACGCTCCAGCAAGCATTGTTCTGGATTTATGTAGCGCTTTTTCATCATCCTGTAAATATCAATGCTTCTATACAACAGTTTCCTATGACTTGAATAAGCCAATTTTTATAATAGTTTCGGATGTTAATTTAATATGATCGATGAAGCTCAAAAAAATGAAACTACACTTATACAATATGATATATTCATATATTACATTATATTAACTCTATTAATAAATTGAATAAATCGAATTTTAATGCAAAATAACAGTAGTTCTATTATTCCTTCGTATTTGTGTATGGTTCTGTCTAATTCCTTTATCAACATTAAACGTGTAATAGTGTTACACCTTTCTCTAATTACATGTAGATGTAATTCGATTAAATGAATTATTTACGACTAAAGGGGCTCTTTAAGGTTCGGCCTTAAGAACGTGAATATTTCTGACGACGAAGTATATTTTACGAAGTTCTGATTACCTACAACAAAAGACAAATCGGCAGGACTTATTGACGCGTCTGGAAATCAATAATTACGATGGGTTCAACTAACCAAAAAATTAACGTGTTCAGAATCAAAGGTTGAACTTAATTTCTGCCAACAAAATGATATAAGACGCAAAGGTTGGACTTAATTTTCACCCAACACAATAATATAAAAACGCGAGGGTTGGACTTAGTTTCTGCCAATAAATAATAAATTCAAAATATGGTTTGTTTATAATGAAGGTCATCCACTATTTGTGCAGGAGACAAGATTTGAAGTTAATCAGTGGAAAATAAATAAGAGATAAAGGTGAATTTAAAAGTAATCTTTATTTTTATTTTGATTAAGCATGTTTGTTGACAGTACTAAACTCTTCTATTTATACAAAATTTAGGACTATTATAATCGTTACGAGCTTGGTTGATCGGGTACTAGGACAGACAGACATTAAGTTTATCGTTTGACATTGTTAAAAGAAAAATAAATGTTAAATAAAATATCAAACGACGCGAAGGTAAAATATATGTTTAATAAATATTAAATAATGCAAGAGTTAAAAATAAATGTTAATTAAGTTATACATGTATGTGCAACTAAAATAAATGACAAATAAATATGAAATTATGCGACGGATGTTAAACAAACGTCCAAATTCGCTAGGATCAATGGAAGGTAAGTTAATCTTATAAATTACGAAACAATAGGTTCAGTTCACACCCAAACATCTATCTTCTTTATTTGTGTCTATTTCTTCACCAATGTTTTTTATATTTTTTTCTCATCATCAATCTCTTTTGTAGATTCAATAACAACATCTTAGCTAATTCTCAGTTATCACCACTGCTATTTTTATTTCATTCTTTTATATAAAAGAATGATACAATAGAAACGTTATAGATGATATTTTTGAATTTGGAGAAATTAATTAATCCATGAAGAAAAAATTGCATTAGGAGATTTAAGTGAGCAAATTAAAGAAGTAACTATGATAGAAAATTTAAACAATTGATGAATTTTATGAAGATATTTTAATAATAGTCAAACAAATTTAAAAACAGTAACTTTAAATTTTTTGCCTAATATGAAATCTTGAAATAAGAATTATTCTGGATTTATAAAGTTATTGAAAGTAATAAATAAAAAGAACAAATCGAATATAAAGTATGAAGTCAAGATACTTTTATAGTTCGGATTAGATAAATAATTGAAGATAATATATCTAAAAAAATCAGAAAGATCATGTTTATTATTATAATTGATAATTCAAATTAATAAAAATGAATGGATAAAATTATTTTATAATATTAGAAATATATATATAATATTAATTTTATAATATGAAAAAATAAAATACATAATATTAGATAATTAAAAATAAATATATTATAAATTAGAATCTTTATAATAATAATTATAAATAAATAAAAAGATTTAATTAGTTATTTATAATATATTCTATTAACTAATTATTATAGAGCTAAATCTACTTTTAAAGATTTAAAACTATATTATTTTTTTTGTAATTCAGATACTGATTTATATAATAAAATGAATTCTGATTTATTAAAATAATTTAATAAAATATTATTAGTATAGATATTAAAAAAATAAAATTATTAAAAGAAAAAAATGAAAATCAATTAGATAATAATAATTTAGAAAATATAGAAATAAATAAAAAAAGAATTAGTAAATAATAATAAAAAAGAAAATAATAATTAAAAATTAATAATAATTTAAAATAAATATAAATAAAAAAGAAATAGTAAATAATAATAATAAAAAAATAAATATAAATATAAATTAAAAGAATAAAAATAATAATAATAATAATTTAAAAAAATATAAATAAAATAATAAATAGATTTAAATTATTTATATTATTCAAATTATTAAATAAATTTTTTAGTATTTTTTAATTTTTAAATAAGAAATATTGATATAAATTAGTAATTATATAATAAAATTCATAGTAATTTATTTCTAGTACTATTTAAAAATACTTAATAATTATAAAAGCTTTAGTTATTATTTTTATTATATTAATACTTTTATAACTTAAGATATATTTTTTTAATAATTTTATTAATAAAAATTATATTATATATTTTCATAAGTTTTATTAATATCAAGATATCTAATAATAAGTTTTAAGTATTTTATTTTTAGAAATAACTAATTATGGGTTGGTGCAAAAAGATTTGTACCTTAGATAAATATTAATAAATTATTTTTTCAAAATAAAATTTTAATTCTGTCTTATTTAATTAAATTATTAGGTATT